ATAGTTTTGTGAATGCATTTAAGGAAATGTTTATGCTTATTGGTTTTCATGGACCGGATCCTAGTTTCTCATGGGGTTTGTTGCATGTGTATGGTCCTGTAGACTTTGTATCTAAAGAAGGTTTCCTTAATGAGTTGGATGATGTTATCAGTAATTTCGGCTTTCCTATATGTATTGGTGGGGATTTTAACCTCATTAGGTGGCCATATGAATGCCTTGCACACTTGGCTATTCATTCTTCAATGAGGATCTTTAACAGGTTTATTGAGTCGAATTCTCTTTTTGACCTTCCAATTGTGGGGACTAAATTCACTTGGTCCAACAATAGTGTTTCCTCTCTTGCTATGTCGAAACTTGATAGATTCTTAGTTTCTTCGAATTGGGTGGCTGTCTTCCCTCTTGTATCAATCCATGCTCTGCCACGGCTCTCTTCTGACCGTACCCCTGTTCTTCTAAGTACTTGCATGGCTAGTATTGGGCCGATACCTTTTAGGTTTGAAATTGGATGGCTTGAGAATCTTGAAGTGTTGGATCCCATTCAATCTACTTGACAGAATTTCATCTCTTTTGGTTCTTTGGGTTTTCAGCTTTATAAAAAGCTTCTCAATATCAAACATAAGCTCATTGCTTGGAAGAAAGAAAATAATGCTAATGTTAAGTTGAAAATTGACGAGCTTTTAGGGGAAGTTAATGCTTTGAACCAGCAGGTTCAAGCTGACGGAGTTTTGACACCGGAGTTACTGGCAGCTAGGAAATCTAAATTAAAAGACCTCCTTGATCTTCAGAAGGTGAAGGAGTTATATTGGAAGTAAAGATCTAGGGTAAAGTGGCTTAAGGAGGGAGACTTGAATATTAAATTCTTTCACTCTATTGCTAGTGCGAGAAGAAGACAAAATGATATGTATGGTCTCATCATCCAGGGGGTCGACATTGATAATAGTGAAGAGTGGGCTAAGGCTATTGTTGACCATTTTAAAGAAGGCCTTTTCTTCAGATGTCAAATTCACACTTCTTTTACACGGATTGCCTTTCAAAACTCTCTCTGTAGAGTTGCACAATTCTTTGGAGTGTTTGGTCCTTGTGGAATATCTTAAAAGAGTTGTTTTTGCATTACCTGGAGATAAGGCCCCGGGTCCAGATAGTTTCCCTCTCTGGTTTTTCCATAAATTTTGGAAGCTAGTTAAGTTCGAACTGCTAGAGATGGTTAGAGAGTTTATGTTAAGCACCTCTGTTTTCAAAGGGATTAATGCCATTTACATTGCTCTTATCCCCAAAAAGTCGGTGATTACAAATTTATCTGATATAAGGCGCATTAGTCCTCTTTCAAGCCTTTATAAGATTGTGGCTAAGGTTTTGGCTGAGAGACTCAAACTTATTCTCCCCAGCATTATTTCCCCCAATCATTATGTGTTTATTCAAAACCGTCAGATTACTGATAGTATTTTGATGGCTCAAGAGTGTATCTATTCTAGACTGAGATGTCAGCTTCCTGGTGCGGTAGTGAAGTTAGATTTGGAGAAGGCCTATGATCGTGTTGAATGGGGAGTTGTTGGAGATTTTTAAAAATATAGGCTTTGGGGAGAAGTTGAGGAGTTGGATTTATAACTGCCTATCCTTAGCCCATTTCTCAGTGCTGATTAAGGGTAGCCCCTCTGGCTTCTTTAGAGCCACTAGGGGTCTTCGTCAAGGGGATCCACTATCACCCTTTCTTTTTTCTATTTATGCGGAATGTTTTATTCTTATGCTTCAGAAAGTAGAAGCTTGAGGCAGATTTTCTGGCTTTCAGGTTGCTGATTCGGGTCCAAGATTCTCACATCTTCAGTATTCTGACAACACCCTTATTTTCTGTGATGCTTCTTCGACTCAGTTGTCTATATATAACCTGCTTTCTTGATTGTTGTGAGGCTTCTCTAGGGCTCAAAGTTAATTTTTCTAAGACCTCTTTAATTGGAGTTAATTGTCATCCTGATTTGTGCCATTCACTCGCTCTTCAGTTGGGCTTTTCGGTCGTCTCCTTCCCATTTTCCTATTTGGGCATTTCGATTTCTGACTTTAGGCTACCTATTTCGATTTGGGACAATGTCCTACAATGTGTGCAGGTTAAGTTGGACTTATGGAAGCCCAAATATCTCTCTTTGGGGGGTAGGGTAACTTTGCTATGCTCTTGCTTAGCGAATTTACCAATTTATCTCATGTCGCTTCTTCTTATGCTTGCCTCTGTAATTAAGAAAATTGAGCGGATGATGAGTAATTTTCTTTGGGGTTCTTTTGGAGTAGAGAGGAAATATCATTTATTGAGATGGGACCGGGTTTGTACCCCAAGATGTGAAGGTGGTTTGGGTCTTTGCAAGTTGAAATTTATGAACGAAGCTTTGCTTTCTAAGTGGTGGTGGCGAAGTTTCCATTACACGGATCAGCGTTGGTGTCAGGTGTTAATTTCAAAATACAGGAGAGATCAGTATGGTTTATGGCGACATGTTGATCGCTCTAGTGACTTCTCCTTTCTGTGGAAGCCCATCTCTAGATGTCGTCCTCATATAGCGGCACATTTTTGGTGGTTGGTGGGGAATGGTGCCTCCATTTCCTTTTGGCATCATAAATGGATGGGTGGCACCCCTTTGAAGCTTACTTTTCTAGATCTTTTTGCAAAGGTTCTTCTCCCAGAAGCCAAGATAGCGGATTTAGTGGATTTCAATGGTTCATGTATTGTTTGGAATATGATAGCGGATTTAGTGGATTTCAATGGTTCAGTGGTTAGAACTATTGAGTCTATTGGATTCAGTTTATATTTACCAAGGGTCGTCAAATGAACTTATTTGGGAATTTGAGAATGATGGCATCTTCTCGGTCAAATCCAATTACAGGCTTTTTTTCTACGGCAGATAGAGATGGTCATTACCTCTTGTGGCTAAGATCTGGAAATGGCCTACTCCCCATAAAGTGCAAGCTTTTCTCTGGTTAGCAGCCCTTAACTATTGACAACTTGGTTAAGAGGGATAAGGTGCTACCCAATATCTGTTTGATGTGCAAAGAAGATGAGGAAACTAGGAATCACCTTTTCATTCACTGTAAGATTGTTTCTTTTATTTGGTATTGGTTTTTTAATCTTCTTGGGGTTCAGACTTCTGTTCCTTTTTCGGTGGCGGACTTAGTGTCACAACTATCTTTTGAGCATTGACATTCAGGGGGATCTTGGTTTGGCAAATTGCAAGAGGCACAGTGCTTTGGGAGCTGTGGAAGGAAAGGAATAGGCGCACTTTTGAGGGATTGTGTATTTCAGCCGATAGTTTACTTGATATGTTAAGCTCTCCATTTGACATTGGTTTTCGATCACTAAGGATGGCTGGGGCGTCTCTCAACCAGATGTCTTGCTTAACCTGCAAAACCTATTTCTCTTGGGAAAAGTTAAGATGAAACCTAAATGCTTCTGGACTCCTCAGGCAGTTGGTCATTTTAAATTGAATTTTGATAGCAGTTCCTTAGGTAATCCTGGCCTTGCTGGAATTGGGGGTGTTTTGCGTAATGATCAGGGACAGGTTGTCTTTTATTATGTTGGTTTGTTAGGCTCTGCTACGGCCAATCATGCAGAACTTGTCTCATTGTTGCAAGGTCTTAAGCTCTTTATTTCCAAAGGCATTGGCAATAGTTGTATTTTTTAAGGTGATTCGCTTAATATTGTTGGCTGGTGTAAGAAGGAATTGCGCATTCCCTGGAAGCTCAGATCTTTCTGGTTGGAGATTATGGACATTTTAGCCCCTTTAGTTATCTCTTCTCTCATGTTTATAGGGAGGCTAATGATTTAGCTGATTCTCTAGCCAAAGGTGGGGTCTCCCTGCCTTCTTTTTATTTTTCCTCTGATGTATTCTCTTTTTAGTAGTTTCTCATTAATAAAAGTTGGAACCTTTGTCAAAAAAATAAAAAATTTGGATGTTTTTCGCAAAGAGTGATGATTGTATTTTGTCACATATCTTTTTTTTCTTTTTAGGATTTTTAAAATATGTCTAACTATAAATCTTTTTTTTAAAAAAAAATCTATTTTTCTATACTTTTTTAAGCTGCATTTAACTTTTAAAAGTTGTTTTTAGTTTTATTTTACTTTTTAGTACTTTGTTTTATTTTGCAAATTTTTTCTATTTTCTGAATTTATTCGAGCATTTTGGCGCTGTGCAAGTCTAGGCTAAGTAACTAGTATCCGTCAACGATCGAGTCCCTTCGGCAAGGCGAGTCGCAGCACACTATCCATTACGTAACATAATATTAAAGGCATGGTACCTCTCTAATAACCCGTTCAAGGTAGGAATCTCACCTCTAAACAAAGCAAAAAATATATAGAAACAACAAATGAAAAATATCAGGTAGCCCTTAAGATCTCCCATGCTTTTGGTGTGTGTTATGGTCGTGGGTGTTAGGAGAGAGAGAGGGCATTTTGGTTCTAAAAATTATAACTTTTTTAATGGGGGTATTTTGTTAGAAAAGTTTGTTTTATGATAAAAGTTGTGACAAAAAATTTGGTTGGGGGGAGTTTTTAAAACAGTAGGATCATAGGTGTTTTTGCATTTTTTTTTTTTGCGTGTTGGGTGGGGGGCATGGAATAGATATGCTAGTCAAGGTAGAAAAATTGGTCCGAACATAGTCGAATGGCCCCGATCATTTCGCTCACCATTCGAGTTTTGGTTTCGCACGTAATGAGCAAAGTTTGGAGTCAAGATGATGCACATGTGTGACATACACATGACTTTTTGGGTCCGTAGACTTCATTGTTGTTATATTAGGCCTGAGTGTTCGTATTGAATGAATGAATGCCCACTCTATTTGAATTCGGTTTGTGAATAAGGAAAGAAATAGCTGGCCTTCTATTCAATTCACTGAGAAAAATAATTGCACGGTTAAGACTTGACTTGCAAATTGGGAGGTCCATCCAAACAAGTCTTTGTACCACTAAGCCCATTATATTGTAGCATGTGTATGACTATCGATAACAAATTACAACTTATCAATATTTTAAACATTTCGCCATGGTTTCTTCAAGCCACTATGGGCTCTGGTTTTTGGGCACTATGGCGATGGTTGGGATTCTTACAAATAACCTACAAAAAGCTGGTGAGATTGCTTATGTGTTAATTTCTTTCTTGCTTTCTACATGTATTATATAGCTACCACCATTGTGCCATATCATTTCCATCCCATAATTTGCATTGGATTGATTATAAGTTTTGGGGATTGGGGAGGGAGGAGATAGTTTCGTTAGCTGGGATTAAAGCAATGATATTGGCGAGAGGCTCCAAACCCAATTAAAAGAATTGTTACTTTTTTTCCTCAAAAGACTCAACATCAGTTGGCCAGTGTATAACAACCTGGCCGGGTTACTCGGACCCGACCACTGGCCATGGCCAGTTTGGCTGATTAGGTGGTCAACTGGCTTGGCCATCATAACTTAAAAATCAAAATCCAAAAAAAGTATAAAAAATTAAGAAATTTATTTCTAATGGGTTTTTTAATGTTTTTTATTGTTTTAGAAAAGATTGGGAAATATTTCGATTGCAAATACTTATTTTGATATTTTCTCTTTTTTTTTTATTATTTTTAAAAATATTCCTGGGCAAAAATTGATTTTTTAAAATCTATTTTTTCACTTTTTTTTTTGATGCGTTTTGTTTAGTTATATTTTAAATATATTTTTCATATTTTTTAATATTTTTTGAGTTTTTTTCTAGATTTTTTAAAACCCGTTTTAGACTGGCTAGAAGTTGCCCAATTAGGGGCGGTTATTCAGACCGTTTATAAATGCACCAAAAGTATGAAAATTTAAATAAAAGACTCTAAACAATCAAATTAGAGCACACCTCAAAAATTTAACTAGAAGAGGTGGTTTTCGTGCCCAAATATCTCAATTGGTCATCTCAACATCAAGATGCATGGACATGGAAAAAAAATAGATTTCAAGTTTGAGAAATAGTGGATCTTGTAATGCATTTTTTGACAGTCAATTTTCAAGATTTTCAATTTTTTATAGATCTACTAGATCTATACTATTTTTTAAGCTTTAAATTTTATGATTAAAGATGAAAATATATTTTAAGGCTATTGGTAGTAAAAATTGATGGAGCGCAAATGAGACCAAACTCGAGATCATAAAGAAGAAATGTTGTGAGGCTGGTGATCACAGAGCTCAGATCTTAAGTAAAAATTACCCAAAAGAGAAAGGTAACTATCTAGAGGCTCTGTAAATTGCTGTGTATTTTCTATACGTCCTTTTTTCTAGCTTCCCATATTTTTAAGGAAAAGATAGGCCAATATTCATCTTTCTCCCATAGGTATATGAGAAAAAGTCTGCCTTGATATTAAAGATACTCATCAAACTCATCAACTATCACAAGATTTTTAGTATTAAAACCATATTTCTTGATACTATTTGAAGGTGCGCTTTACTTTGATTGTTTATTGCCTCGCTCTATACAAACCGCACCCATAAGTAAAAAATGTATTTTTCACTCTTACATTGTCGTCAATTTATGCTTGTCAGTAGTTTACCGCACCCTTAAGTAAAAATTGTTTTTTCACTCTGAAATGTCGACAATTTAAGCTTGTCAGTAGTTGACTCCTGCACACCACCGAATATCGTCATAAAAGAGCATATTTTTGCATATGAAGCACTTGTCAGGACTTCAAAGCTTCCTGGGCACTCGTTTGTCCTTCGAAAATGTTTCATCCTTCTTTCATTTTGATTTGATGAGCACAAAAAATTTACTAAAGTTTTTAAGCAAAAAAAACCTTTCTCTTTCTTTTTTTTATTTTTTTTATTTTTTTATTTAACATTGTCTTTGCATTAGTGCTTTTAGGCACTCCATTACTAACTTATTTTGACTTATGTCAACACTGGTATATATGAAAAGGTGTACGATGAGATCATTTATTTTTGGTACAAGATGGTCACAATTAATTTTAACCACTGAATGTGAAAATGAGTGGCTACATTTATTCTATCGATCAAACTCAAAATTCTAAAGATATTTGATCGAACTTTATGACATAATAAAGCTATCAGATTTCACATCGGATAGTTATAAATAATCGTGACCTCCTTATGCCAATGATAAATTGTCTCGTTATATACAATCTTATTTAGATAATGGTGCAAAATTTGCTCAAATGTTATAGCAGTTACCGATGCAATCTTTTATCGAGAGTAAGGGGAATTGAATCCTTGAGGGAGGAAGTGTACTCTATTCGCTATTGTTATCATATATTGTGTAATTCGTCTTCTTTTCTTTTTTTTCGGATCGCCAATCTAGAAGATCTAGATCGTTTATTCAGCTGATTTTGGATCTAGATCGATGGCCAGTTGATCCACCCCGCTGATTTATTTTTTATATAATTAGTTTAAGGTGCGATTTCTATAAGGTTGCAACCTTAAACAATCCAATTAAGGTTCACCAACAAATTTTATCATAACATGTAATTTTATTGTAAAAACAATCTTAAGATTATCTTAAAATCTATTTCATATCTAATTCGAAAGTTTTAAACTCCAAAAATGATTAAAATCAATGAGATCTATAAACATATGAAAATTTTGAATATGGACGGTCTAGATAATGTGTTGCAAGATATACTATTTATGAGACTCAAAAAAAAATTTTTATATATATATTCATACATCTCGATGTCGAGATGATCAAATAGTGGGTTTTCCAACATTAAAATAATCTTTTTGATAGATTTTCCAAGTGCATCTGTAATTCTACATTTTAAGGTTGCAACCTTATATAAACTTTTCCCATTAGTTTAAGTAATTCAGACTCAGAAGAATTAAAACCCATCAAGCGCGTAATATCGCGTTGTTTAATGGTGGTAAAAGTCCAGGATATCACTAGATGATGGGACTATTTTTTTATGAAATACATTTCTTACACAAGTAATGATCTTATAGGACTGTCCTCCATCCATGTGTGTATGACCCCAAATGATCATAATTAAAGTTGGCATGAATATCTAGAAAAGTTATCAAATGGTTGTGGAGCTTGACTTTTCTATAGATCGGTGCTAAATTTAATAGTGATCTTTTGGAGTCTTACACATATGGATGGGAGAGGGTCCTATAAGATCATTTCTTCTTACAATAAGGTTTCCCGTAGAATAGATTTTTATGTTGTTTGGATATCATCTGTATGCATCCCAAAAGACCATTTCTACATAGAAATAGGGTACATACCAAAAAAAAAAAGGAAGAAGAAAAGAAAAGGAAAAAAAGAAAGAAGGAGGAAGGTCCATTATTTTGGATCCAAACAGTAACTCTCTCTCTAGAAAACTATTCGATCCAAACGACCCTTAAATACTAGGCTACATGGCTTGCTTTTCATATAATTTGTGAAATACGATCACCATCTTTCTCTCTAATAGTGTTCATAAACTCGACCTAGTCAACTTGGGCTCCGCCTTAACATGGTATCGAGGTACTCAGCCTCATCTTGGAACACGCAAAGTGCTAAAGCATGTACCGTGTCGAGTCGCTCCCTTATGTAGAACTCGGGCCCATTAGCCCAAATTCTATAGCACTTGGGTATGTCCGCACTTGCCAAAGTACTACTTCTAATAAAAGAAAAATGAGTGGGGGCCCATCCAGGGGTGGGACTGAATGTGCATCACCCTTTTTCATCTCCCCTTTTAAAGGGCCAGAAATCCACCCTCTTTTTTCATTCTCACTCCAAAAAAAGGGGACTAATAATTTATCCCCTTCATCTCTCTCACTCTCGTTCTCCCTCCTAGTGGGAGGGCAATTTGCGCATCATTTTTCATTTCTCTTTAGAAGGGAAGCATAAATCCATTTCAAGCTTTATTTTTCTCTCGACCTAGTAGATTTTTTCTCTTTTTTGAAATACTCTCCCTCTCTCTAAAATCTATTTTTTTTTTTTTGAAAATTTTATTTTTTAGTATTTTTTATTTTTTTTGCTATTTTTAAATCATTTTCATACCTGCACATGAATAAGTCCACACATACACGTCCAAGTTATTTAATCTGTGGAAGAGCCTAGTATTGAACCATTTAAACCTTGCTCTATGTCCCTTCATTTGCTCATACATAATAATGATCTACATGTTCTTCCCTCTTATTTATTCTTGCATAGACGGGGGTTTCCTCACCAAAAGCTTATTCTCACCTACTCTTCCTCCCCATGCCTCCCATATTACACCAATAAATGCCACATTTGAAACGTTTTAAATATGCTATCCTATTTGTTATGGATTGTATATTACGAGATCATTCATTTTTGTTACGAGGAGGTCACAATTGCTATTAGTAATTAGATGTCAAATTGTAAAGCTTGAGGTGTGTCATAAAATTTGAGACAGTTTTTGTTTGAACTTTGATCTAGTCAATGATATACTTACAATCATTTAATTTGAAATCCGACGAACAACAATGATTGTGACCTCCTTGCATTAAAAGTAATTTATATCTTTATATATTTTTCTTATTTGTTAGGCCTCGAAACCCTAAGCATTTAAGTTATTTGCGAAGAAAAGGATTTAGAGTCCTTTAGTTAGATCGAATTTATGTCACAAAAACATATATGAGTCAACATTTGGTACGCACATTGATGCCAATATAAAAAATGGCCTTTCAACACTTTACTCGTGTGTATCATTTCTTTGAAAGCCCACGAAATTCGGATTTCAAGTAAAATTATGCACCTTCATAATTACAATCAAATAGAAAAAGTTCACCATATACCTAAGTTTTTAAAAGCATGAAATATATGTGTTTATCTCCATACCATTATTACCTAGACTGGACCTTACAGGCTAGCCCAATGAATTAGACTTCCGATTAGGGCATTGGCGGGTTTAGTCCAAAAACTAAGATTGACTGAAAATTTATAATAATCAATGTGTTGCGGCAAATTTGACATGTTGGACCTACTAAACATGACAGAACAACTTTTTTGTTAAGGAATGGTAAACCCTCCACATAATGTGGATGCCTTAAGGGTGCACGAGCTGATTCAGGTTGAACCTAGTATCATCAAATTGTAAAAAACGAATTCTGTATTACATTTTTATTTTTTATTTAAAACTAATATTTACATCTGCATTTTATATGGTCTATAATATAAAAATAATAAAGAAAATATTTTAAACAAAAAAGTTGGTCAAAATACCCCTGAAACAATTTAATGGCATTTTGGTCAACTTTTTTTTATCAAAATATATTTTATTATTTTTATTTGATTCATTATAATAAAATATATTTATAACCCAATTTTTTAAAAAATATTATTTTGAATTTAAAAAAAAAAGGGTTTTGTGGCTGTTGGATGCACCCATGTTTAGTATGTGCCAATGAAAGAGTGCTTGTGCACCTTCCACTGTCTACATGATGCGGACGAGAGACTCTCTCTTTTGTTAAGGGATTGTATAGTGAAAGACTATTTATCTTTGTTACAAGATAGTCACAAATACTCCTTGCCATCAGATGTCAAATCAAATAGCTTGGATATCATTAAGTTCCAAAAATTTTTATTAGAACTTTGCTTTTAGTTAATGACACACTCACAACTACCAGATTTGAAATATAATGGATAAGAGTGATTGTGATAGCCTTATACTATATATAAATGGTGACTTTTTATGCGTTTATGTTTGTTAGTAGATATTGAGAGCAAACCTAAAGTAGAGGATGGTCAATATGACAGCAACTATTCTATATTCTATAGATTGATAGATAAGATAGGGCCCTTCAAATTATAGATTCAAAACATATTCAGATCTGACAGATCTAATGCCGTATGAATCTAGTGCCAACCCCAATTCTAAATTTTGCAACAAAATAGATCTTTAAGAGTACAAAAAATTATAAATAAAATTCATAAACTATAAAAATCAGAATAAATAAAGTGAACAAATTAAAATAAAGAAAACGAGAGAACTTACCTAGGGAACTCGAAGCCCAGAGTTTCGAGTTTTGGGGTCGGATCATGATGCCTTCGCACACCTTCTCTTTGCTTGAATGCTTTTCTTTGATAGACTGATTTGGCTGGAATTTTGTTGGAAATAGGTTAGAATTTCTTAGATATGGATTCTAGGGTTTTTAAGACAACTAGGGTTTCCAGATATAGGGAACCCAAGGGTTCCCTAAAGGTTCTAAGATATAGGGTTCCCAAAGGGTTTCCAGATATAGGGTTCCCCAAAGGGTTTCCCGATATAAGGTTCCCCAGATATAGAAAAACGCCATATGTGGGTTCTAGATATAGGGTACACAAGATATAGAAAAACCCCATATGTGGGGTTTTTCTAGGAATTTAGCAATTCTAGTGATTTTTATTAATTTTTATCATTTTTTTAAATTTTTGAGGATTTTTTCGAAATTTATGGAAGCTCTTATGATTTTCTACATTTTCTAGGGATTTTTTGGTCAAATTTCTCGACGATTTTTCTGCGCTTTTAGAGGGGTTTATATAGACTAGGTCTAGGGGTATGCATGAAATGTTACCAAGGGAAAAATCATTCAAAATAGAGCTTACCTGGACTGAAACTGCGGACCCAAACTTATCTGGAAGGTCTGGGACGCATCCAGGCCCAATGGGCTATACAACTCAAGGGGGGATGTGTGGTTCATGGGCGCAACCCATGTAATGTGCACCATGGAATGCCCTGTCATTTCTTCAAATATTTTTCCTCGGACAATAACAGTTAAACGGTGCCTCGAATTTGGGTGATTCAAAGACGACTAGAAAGTTTTCGGGCTCTAGTATTATTTGAACTAGATTTTGGGTGAACTTGGGTCATTCTATAGAGGCTAGGTTCACTATGGCTCACTAATCTCATAATGGTCCCTAGGGGTCAAAACTAAGTCTTCGAGAATCTTATCAGCCAAAGGATTTCTATAGTTCCCAAGTTAGCATTGAAAACAAAAGTCTTTTCTATAATATATTATTCCTATTTGTTTAAAGAAAAGTGCTACAAAATGTCTATAGGTGAAAAAGTTCTATGTAAATCATCTATATTTTTATAACCGTTCAAAGTTTATCACAGGGCCGTAAATGTCTGATAGTGTTTGAATTTTAATATTTGTTTTACAAATCATAATGATCTGAAATTTTGTAGGTATGTACGTTTTAGCAAGATTCACATAAATAAAATATAAAACAAATAATTTGAACGATAAACATTATGCAAAATACCCTTAAAATGTTTTAAGGGTAATTCCATTATTTTATTTTATGACTATTATTTTTTTAATATTTTATTTTCATGTGAATTGGCCACATGTACACACAACCCAAATTTTATATTAATATGATTAGTACAATAATTATAAAAATTCAAATACTACTAGACAACTGTGACCGTGTAATAAACTTTGGATGGTGATGAGGTGTAGGGGAAGTACTGTAAAACTTCACCTATAAGCGTTTTATAGTGTTTTTTTTGTTTAAATCCAATCAAATTGATTTTAGCAATCGAATGGGTTTCGATAGGATAAAATCATCTAATAAGTTTTGCGGCATGTACAGTTTATACTATGTTGTCAAGAGCCATAAATTATAAGCGCACGGATCCAAAATACGTAGGATCGACCAGCAGGCCCAATGATCATGAATGGAATCGGCGAGGACCGAACTGATTTCAGGAAGGTATCTGTCCTAGTCATGTTCCCCCCAAACCCCACCTCTCCCGGGCCCATTTACATTTTTTAAAATATTTGTCTTATATTTTCTTAGGTCATTTCTAAATCCATGACCAATACAGAACGGTGATTTGGCAATCTAACACGGATATATGGGCTGGACGGAGTGGCTCACCGATTTGGATTTTGAAATATTGTTTTAAACATTTAAGTCCTTCATGAAAACTAGATCAGCATGAAAAATTGACACAAATGATTTTGTGTGTGTACCAATAGTGATGATCTTTTCGGATTTTTATGTCAGGAGCCCAATTCGTGGGTGTTTGTTATGGGGCATCAGGCGATCTTCCACCCCCTCATGAAGTGGTGGCCCTCTATCAATCCAAAGGAATCAAGAAGATGAGACTTTACTCCCCCTACACCGCGCCTTAGAAGCCCTTCGAGGATCTGGCATCAAACTAATATTCGGCCTCCCAAACGAAAACCTCAGACAGGCGGCAACCGACCCATCCTTTGTTGCCGAATGGGTTAGGACCAACGTCCAAGCATACTTTCCTGCTGTCGATATCGGCTACATTGCTGTTAGCAAAGAGGTAATCCCGGGTCCTGAAGCTGGTAATGTCCTTCCAGCTATGCAGAATGTATACAATGCAATAAAGTCAGCAGGCTTACAGGATAGTATCAAGGTTTCCACTTCTGTTGCTCCCACCGTGATAGGCACATCTTATCCACCATCCGCCGGCTCATTCTCTTCCGAATCTTCATCCACGATGACATCCATCGTTGGTTTCCTTTCTAGCACTGAGGCACCACTGCTGGTGAACGTGTACCCCTATTTCAGTTACATAGGAAACACTAGAGATATTCGACTCGAGTATGCATTGTTTACTGCTAATTTTGATGTGGTAACAGATGGTCAATTTAGGTACCGTAACCTCTTCGATGCAATGGTAGATTGTGTGTATGCTGCAATGGAGAAGGTTGGCGGAGGGGAAGTCCCGATCATAGCTAGTGAGAGCGGGTGGCCTTCTGCCGGAGGCGTCGCAGCCACAATCGACAATGCCCGGACCTATAACTCGAACTTGGTGCGACATGGGGGTCAAGGAACTCCGAGGAGGACGGGCACACCTTTGGAAATCTATGTGTTTGCAATGTTCAATGAGAATAAGAAGGCAGCAGGGATTGAACAAAACTTTGGGCTCTTCTATCCCAACAAGCAGCCAAACTTTGGGCTCTTCTATCCCAACAAGCAGCCTGTTTATGATGTGAATTTCCCCTAGAGAGTCAATATTAAAGGCTAAGTAAGTCTCAATATGTTTGAAACAAATAAAAGTCTGCTGATTGTGATTATCGTTTCAAAATATGCAATATCAAAGTAAGTAACTCAGCTTTTGTTCCCCAGTCCTCAATTTTTAATCTTGTTAGCAATTGCACAGGTGACTTGCATAATTGGAATGTATGTTCTAACATGAGAAAAGGGGACTTGATAAAGGATGAAGTTTTTGTAATCCTCACCTCGAATCCTCATCCGAAAAGTACTTTCGGTAACGGAAATCTCTATGATGGCTCTAAAATCAATTGTCAACACCGACAATAAAATTTGAAACTAAAGAAATGGTACAAATCTAGCGAATCTATGAACACTTATTTAAGGCGAGATGGACGGTCTAGATAATTTGTTATAATGTAAACTATTTTTAGAGCTTGACGTTCTAATTTTAATTCACAACCATAATGTTCAGACCGATATGATCGATATCAAAGTTTTTGAATGCTTGAATTGCAATTTTCGATGAGTTACGAGGTGAGGGTTTACTTGTATTGATAGCCTGCAGCTCCTATCGAACCATTCTTACCCCTCAACTACAAAAAGAATGACATTGTATTTTTATAGCTTCATAACATATGATTTCGTATTCCCCGAGCATGAAAACAGGACGAACACAAATAATCTATGCATGTGTAATCCGGCTGACTTGTCTAAATAAAATTGGCTTTGTGGAATATCGCATTGTGCATCTTCAGGCCAATCTAACCTTAAGCAAAAAGAATTTATCATGTATATTATACTCATGTAGGAGGAAGAGTTATTAGGGAGTTTTTTTTTTATTTAAATAAGTTTTTTTGGATCTTCGTAAGAATCTGATCATTTAAATATGGAATTTGTACTTTTTGAGTTCTTTGATATCGATCTATTTCTGACAAGGAAAAAAAAGGATCATTTCTCGATTTGTGCATGCCATCCTTGCGCAGGGGGCTTGATACTTAGATTTCACCCTTGAATTAATAGACGGTCTTTCTATTTAGGAAAAAGTTTATAAAGGGTTAACAAATTAAAATATAGATTTAAGATGCATCTCAAAAATCTCTCAAAAACATTGTTTTGATGTTGGAAAAATATCTAATTGATCATCTCAATATCGACGTTTATGGATATAGACAAAAGAAAGATTTCAAGCCTTAAGACTAGTATATAATGCAAAATATTATTTCAACTGTCGATTTCAAGACTTTCATGTTCTTATAGATGTGTTTGATTTGGAGCATTTTTTTAGTTTAAAATTTTATAATTAGAGTTGAAAATAGATATCACACCATTTTAAGAATTTTCGACACCAAAATTGCATCTTATGATAAAGTTTGAAGGTGCACCTTACTTTGGTTGTTAATGTTACAACCTCGTACAAAACACACGGACATTATATTTTTCAAGTGCATATATTAATACTTAAAAGTTTTGCTTTTTGAAATTAGTTGGTAAATGGAAGAGGTCATATCGCAAAATTTGGGTTCCTAAAGTAAGGTTTTAGCAAGAGGGAGTAAGTGGACGGTAACGCTACAGATACATAAATTTTTTTTACTTTACTTCATGGGTAAGCTTTCAATGTTTTTTCTACAATATAGAACTTATATACTTCCCCTTATCCAACCGTCCATTTTGAATGGAGGGTTAAGATTGTCCTAATCACAATGTTACGTCTCTACACTATTTTATTTTAAATTTTTTTATATATAATATTTTGATACTAAATTTTGAGCATCCAATCCTCTATTAAACTCACACTTGTAAAAAAATATAAAAACAATATTCTCAATAAAATAAAATAGCCAATATACCATAAAATAATAAAAAGGTATTTTGGTAATTATATTTTATCAAAAAATTACTTTTAATATTTTTTATAGGTGTGCTCCAATGAGAAGATGATACGTACCAAATATTCATACATTTTATATAAAAAAATTAAAAATAAAATACTCTGAAACATTGGATTTAGGTTCAAACGATAAGTGGCTCACTTGATCAAAATTGAATCGCTAGATGGTAAGGGAAACAAAGATCTTCTATGTTGTAAGGAAAGTATAGAAACCTTTCCCTTACTTAATGGCCTTGCTTGTTATAGGGGAAGTATAGAAACCTTTCCGTTACTTAATGGCCTTGCTTGAATCCCCTGTTGTTAAGTCAAAGATATCTTATATATTTAGGGAAAGCTTTTTAGGTTTAAGTTCTATCGTCTCCCAATTTTTTAACCATTGATTTCAAATGGGTGGCTGAGATTAATCCACTCAAGTTGTCCCAAAAATAAAGTCATCAGCTCAGCCGGTAACCCATTTGAAATAGCCCATAGGAGAGAGAGAGAAACTCATTTTTAGTTTTAGGCTTGGAGACAGAGCAGAGAAACCACGAGAGAAAAGGGGAAAGTGTAGGGAAGAGGAGAGAAAGTGCATAGCCCTAAAGAAGAGACAGAGAGAGAGAAACCCATTTACGCCAGATCTTCTCAGCCATGGGATGGATTCTAGAGAGAGATAGGCTAAACCCATCTCTCAAGAAGAGAGAGAAACACAGGAAAGGATGCTCCGACCATCTCTCTACTCCCATTCTCTCTCTAACTTTTTCTCTATTCTATTCTAAGTTCTTTCTTAATGATTCTTGCCACAGGGTCTATTCCTCTAAAAAATTCATCCACTTCTGTTTTTTTTGCTTGGACTCTGATTTATAGGTTTTATCTTTTCTTCATTGGATCAAAGGATTTCTTTCACGATTGTTTGCATTTTAATAGCAGTATTGTGATTGATTCATTGGAAAAGATTAATGGCTAATATGCTTGACTCCTACCATGAGCTTCTATGAGATGATCCATAAACTTCAGTGAGAGAGCTTAGGATAGAGACATGCTTAGGTTGCTATTAACGGATTGATGCATGGATTGTCTTTCTAGCAAATTGACTTGCATGTAGCAATCCATCCATCCAATCGATGATATTAAAAAATTTTCATGTCAATATATCAAAAACATGGCACCTTTGATATTTATGTGCTCAATTTGAAGTTGTCTAGTATGAACTACTTGATGTGATGTACCAGTCATTTAATTTTCCCTTTAATTGTTTAGGAGATATGATCTTTCAAGATAATGATTTTTTTCAATTCAGATTCATTTCTCTCTATCTACTATGTTTGTGCATTTTCACCTGTTGTTTGTTTTTACCGATATTTTCCTTTTATTCTTTTTCAAACTGTCTCAGCATCCTTAATTATGGGGAATATGAAAGGGGAATTCGGAATTTCAATTTAATGGTCCTGCTGCGTAGAATTGTTCATCTAAGCTTGAGTCAGTGCTTAAGGGTGGAGGCATTTAGGTCTGATCTTTGGAAACTTAGGAATAATTTTGGTAGACTATATTCAACAAACTTTGCTACGGTTCTTTGTGGGCACCCTAATCATTCTTGAACTTAGAAAGCAATTTTGGAATAGGTTTATAATTTCTTTCTCATATATATATTTTTTCTTTCCATAACAATTATAAATTAAATTCAACAGATATAAACAAGATTGCAACCATTCTTAAAAATACCTTTTTTCAGAAAAAAAGTTGTAAAAACATCTTCCTCACAAGATAATAAACTTAGCCTCTCATTTTTTAATTTTAAGAACATTGTGAATAGAATGTTCGAGATGGTGATTGTGAATTATTATGCTGCAAAATTTTTCTCCTATAATTTAATTTTTGTTTGTGTATTGAGATTTTGATCAATGTGTAAATAACTATGTATTGTCTTTCACTTAAGAATTTGTATAAGGGACAATACCCTGATCTCCTATATTTGAATAGAGTTACGACATATTCTTATCATCTAACTAATTTAGTTGTTGTTTCATAATTCATATTTTTATTATATTATGAAAAAAATTTATTTTAATGTTTTTACATTGTCTACAATGAGTACTTATTATGCTAGTGAATTTCATTTCATAAAAAAAAGGTTTCGTATCAATGAATCCACTCAAGCTTTGTCAAAATGGAAGCTTGATCGGCGACAGGTAGACCTGATCAGAAAGACTGGTTTGGGCTCATTGATGGACATAGGGTCTTTAAAGTCAATTGCAGGTTGTTGAAGGCCTTCATAAAAACATCGTGTTCACAAACAAATACTCCCGCCTAAACGTTGACGAGATGGCAACTTTATATGACGTATGACGTATGACAGAGATGGGTCAATGCAACGTTATTGAAGCTGTCAATAACCCCACCTGCTCCCGGTCGTGGGTAAATTATTTTGTTGTGTATTTCATTACATGTTTATGTTTCGTTATATATTTAATCAAATTTATCCAATCTCGTTTGTCTTGTAATTATATAAATATTGTTGTAATTGCAGCAACACACCTATATAAGGATGTTAGAAGCCGCACTTAAAAAAGAAGAGGATTCCAGGCATTATGTAGTCGTGGCCCATAAATTGTTAGTAAAGAACACACTAGATGCATGAGATGCTAGTGAAAGCGAAGATGATAGTGAGGAGGATGGTGAGGAGGATAGTGAAAGTGAAGAAGATGGTGAGGAGAAAAATGGAGAAAAGGAGAGTAAAGCTGAGGAGGACGATGAAAGGAGAATAAAGTCCAGAGAAGACCAGTATCATGATCCTGCTATGCATGAGGAACCCAGATGGGAACTCCGACCAAGGGTGAAGGGGAAGGGTGTACTTAAATAGGGGTCTCCTACATTGTTGTAATTTTAAAGTCTTGTAGTTTGATATGTACATACTCAGTTTTGCAGTCACATTTTCATGTAGTGCCTTGCCCTCAAAATCTATATATTATTAACATCTATTTAAGATAGTAATCTTTCTTAAATGAATTCTATTTATCACATTTTGTCTTTTTTTTGGTGAATTGGGAGTTGAGACAATGAATTTTTAAGGTCCTGCATGTCAGTGTCTTTTACACATTTTATCTTTTTCATAGTAAACAGGACTTTAAATACACAGTATTTCCTTATGGGAATCATGGAATGCAATTCAAGTTCTTCAAACTGTGTTCCCAAGGAATTTCCTTTCGAATCAGGGTTGGTGTTTCCTTTTGATTCAGGCTTGGTGTTTCCTTTCAATTCAAGGAATTTGGTCTAATTCAGGCTTGGTGTTTCCTTTCAATTCAAGGAATTTGGTCTAGGTAGTAAAAATGTTAAAATGGGCAAGCAATGGTAGTTTTAATCACTTCTCATGGTACTAGAAGCAAATTTGGGTAATTTTTGGGAATCATGTAAGCTTCTGTTTTGATATCTACTTCTTACCTGACACTACCAGGTGTATGAATCTGGAGGAATTAGAAAGGATATTTCTATTTGACATAAATTAGAATCTGGAGGAATTAGAAAGGATATTTCTATTTGACATAAATTAGAAACGAAGGCTATCTCCATGCCCATACATTTTATGGTTATTTCTTAGATTTCTGTCCTAAATTTCTATGTGAAATTCATAAGTTCCAAGTTTGGAACAGTTCTGAAATTTTATGGTTTTGTGTCGGACCGAAAATAAAATGTTAGACTGACATTATGGGCACTAGAAGCATTTTGCCAGACTGAGAATAAAATGTGTAGGACCGACATCTTGGGCACCAGAAGAATATGTGTCGGACCGAGAATAAAATGTGTTCGACCGGCATTTTGGGCACCAGAAGCATTTGTGTCGGACCAGGAATAAAATGTATTGGTACACCATTCTAGACAACAGAAGCATTTGTGCCAGACCAAATAGAGGGCTAATAGATAGAGAGGTTGATTGATGTTTTGGAGAGACTGAGAGAGATTGTTTGTGCGTGTGTGTGTCTGTCTATATATATATATATATATATATAG